TACACCTTGAGTGCAGTTCTGGCCTCCACATCTTGAAAAGGATGAACTAGAATTAGAAAAAGTGGATGGCCAAATGTATGGAACAGTTGTGTGTGAGCCATGACATGGTAGGGTGGAACTGGAAAAGGGAGAAGTTAGTGGGGAAGGGCAAAATGCTGCATGCCATGATCCACCTCCTGATGCAGCTGAGTATGCACCCCAGGGCCTGGCAGTCTTACAGGCTGCGTAAAGCATGTTGCAAAGGCATGGATCACCAAGTTCCTCTCCAAGTTCAACTCTCCTCTTCCATCTGCTCTGTCCTGCTGGTCTCTCACATGCAGTCAGAACAAAAGAAAGGGACTCTAGTTCCCAGTACAGGTCTGCTGGTAAGGATGCACTCCTGGCCCAGGGGCTGTAGGTGCTAAAGATTAAGAACAGAGAAGGGTGTGGCACGACACATGGCAAAAATTAAAAAAATGCAGGACCCTAAATTAAATGTTTGAGCAAGATGGAGTTAGCACTCTTCTACGGATGGTGGGGTGACTGTCTTCTAGCTAGGCTTCATAGTTGGGTTTCTGTGAGTACCCTGCAGGAATATGAGAGTTCTCTCCTTCCCAAAGATTAGAGAGTATCTCATCTTTGAGAGGAATCAACTAACAGCTCCCATTGTGGAAAAGATTTTTTTTTAGGTGTGTCACTAGGTGAAAGTTTTACCTCACCATATATGGGTATTTGATGAAAGGAGAAAGGAATGCAGCATTACCCTGCAGAGGCTGCTTGGTCTCTGCCACCTGCCAGGAGCACTACCAGAAGAACTGACTGCTTAGGGTTACATTTGCATGTGTGGAGTAAATGCTGTACAAGTGCTCTGAGTATACCTAGCTCATGTTTGTGACTCGTTGTGCCAGAAGGCAGAAGTGTGGCTGCTCAACAGCCCAGTGTAAAACAATTCCTACCCCTGTGACAGCAGGATATGAGAGCCTGTGTGCACTAACCCTTAGTAGTGTCCTGAAATGGTCCGGTGATAGAAAAGCTCTGCATGATGAAGAATCTGATTCTGCTTCTACAACACACTTTTCTTGGCATTTACTCTTGATCTGTTGATTCTGTGTTGCTGTCTCACTTCACAGATAGTCCATTCTGATAAGAAATTTTCAGCTTGACTCTAAAAAAGAGTCAGTAGTTGGCAACTTCATTAGAGAAGGAAGTATCCTTTCACTTCTCTGCCGAGTCCTTCAGAGCTCTGCCACAGTACTGTGATACCACAATACAGTCCCAAGAAAGAACTATGGAACTGCATTTAACCTGCAGAAAAGATGATGGGGAAGATTAATATGAAAAGAGGCAAAATATATGATCATGATGGTAGCTGAATATAAGACCATTACCTTCAGTTGGTCAAATCTTCAGCAGAATAAAACACCTGTTTTACGTATGAACTAAACTAGCCTTTGTCACTGGAAGACTTTCAAATAATGTGCTTCCTTTAGAAATGCAGAGGTCAGAAGCTTTTCTCAGCTTTTTTCTTTCTCTGTTTTTTTTTTTTTTTTTTTTTTTTTTTTCTCTACAAAGACTGGAAATGGCTGTAGCTAATTAGCAAGAGAAGAACACAATCCTTTCTGAGTTCCTGGGACAGAATATCAGAAAGTTTAAGGGACTTGTTTGGTACTCCAGCTACGGGTATGTATAACTAATCATGTAAAAACACAGCATTAACCAAAGAACTGTCATCTTTTCCCCTTGCCCCTTGGGGCTGAATGCATATCAGGTTTGAAGTGACAGGTGGACAAAAGTAGTAGTGAAGGACATGAATGCTCTCAGAGCCTTGTATCTTCAATTCTGATTTTTGAACTTTTGTTCAGTGGAGGTTTTTGATAATAAGCAAACATCCATAATGTATTGCTGATCTTGGCACATTTGGCATAGCTAAAGAGGATCAGAGCAGCGTGTATGAGGCTGCAGAGAATACTTAGTGTGTTCCAAAGATAATGGAGACAAGGTTTGTGATAGGGATTTTTTCAGATCGCATGATCCTCTGATATTAATCTGAGATCTCCAAGTTTACAAAAACTTGAAACTACACAAATTCCTCTTTCAAGGTTTTTTTTCTCTTTTTTTTTTTTTTCTCCTATGCACCTATAACAACTGCTGGGATGGCAGAGAGGCTAGCCAGTTCTTTCTCAAGCAAGTTGATGAAGGGTTTGTTAGTTTTACCAAATGAAACACTGCTTATTCCTTTTTGTTCTCATGGTCAGTACTAGGCAAACGAAACGCTTATGATGGAGACTAAAGAGCAGATGTAGCAAGAGCTGAGAATTTCAGCATAGGAAATGTAAATTGCTAAGTCCAGTTGAAAAAGTAGAGGCTACACTCCAGTAGATCGAGTGAATCCAAAGTAGGTACCTATGACAATCTTTGAGCTGAAGATGAAGTGCAGATGGGAGGTTGCAGGGCAGCAAGGAGGCAAAGCGTGCTGGATAGACACTTCTTGCTGGCCACAAGCCAGGCATTGAGCTTTACACTGCACTGAGCTGGAGGTGTGCCAGGCCTGCTGTTCTGAGTGGAATGTAGCTGTGATTCTCAGGTATATGCTCAAAGAAGTATCTTGCTTCCGTGGCCAAGTGAGTAGCTGGACCAAAGCATGCAGATGAACCACATCAGTGACACATTTACCTGGCTATAGGCCCCTTGATACAGACTAACCTGTAGTTAGAGACTGCTAGAGGCAAAAAATGCCTAGTAAAAAAGTTCGGTGTCAACCCTTCAAAGTCCAAAATAAGAGTAAGATAGTCCACGAGTCTTTGAAGGTGCACAAGAATAAGACAAGAAATCATCATAAAGGCAACCAGCAGAGCTCTGTCTTAACAAGGATTGTGGAACTGTGGATGACAAAGGAGAACATGAGGATACAGAAACTGAGAGGTGACTATACCCAAATACACACTTTTCTCAAAACAGCTTGCAAGAAATTTTATGGCTAGTGTATGGCAAGTACTAAAATCACAAAGTACTGCTAAACAGAAAGCAAGGGGCAACAGGAGAGAAGCTATACTATTCTTTTCACCAAACATAGGCAGGCATGAGCCAAAATGCCCCAATGTTAAAGTGTTTGTCTTTTGAATCTATTTTGTTCCTTTTGATGAAGGGGGGGTGTAATAAAAAATAAATTAAAAAAAACCCACAAAATAAACCAGGATTTTTGGGGACCTGCTATTAAAAGGAGCAGTAAGAAACAGCATAACATAAAGGAAAAACTGGAGCAAACTGGTTAGCTCTAGATATTCTTAAAAAGGAGACATCACAGTTCTCCCTTTGTACTCAGAAGTCTTAAATAGAATCATAGAGCCATAAAATATGCTGAGTTGGAAGGGACCCATCAGGATCACAGAGTTCAACTCCTGGCCCTGCACAGGACCATTCCCAAGAATCACACCATGTGCCTGAGAGCATCATCCAAATGCTAATTGAACTCTGTCAGGCTTGGTACTGTGACCACTTCCCTGGGGAGCCTGTTCCAGTGCTCAACCACCCTCTGGGTGAAAAACCTTTTCCTGATATCCAAGCTAAACCTCCCCTGACTCATCTTCGTGCTGTTTCATTGAGTCCTGTCACTGGTCACCACAGAAAAAAAAGAGATCAATGCCTGCCCCTCTGCTTCCCCTTGTGAGGCTGCTGAAGACTGCAATGAGGTCTTCCCTCAGCCTCTTCTCTAGGCTGAACAAATCAAGTGACCTTAGCCACTCCTCATAAGGCTTCCCCTCCAGACTCTTCAACATCCTTGTGGCCCTCTTTTGGACACTCTCTAATAGCCTAATGTCTTTTTTATATATGCCTGTAACCACTGGAAAAGTGCATTGATCTCACAGATACAGGACCAAACCTCTCCTAGCGTGAGAGGTGAAGCAGTCAGACCGTCATTGGGCATCTGGAGAAGTTGGGCTCTTTCTGGCTCTATTTCTCAATACCTATAGCTAGATTTATTCACTCAGAGGGTTTTACACAGGACTATCAGGAAAGCCCAGTTAGTCTTATAAGAGGGGGAAGATGCTGTGCTGGTAACGGGCACCCACCTGTTTTAGATCTTATGATACGGCAAAGCTGTAAGCTGTAATGTAAGGGGGACTAGCACTATATATAAATTGCCATGTTTCACTTCCTCAAGATGAGATTTATCTTCTGATGGAAAAACTGGAAAGTGTGGTGTTTACAGACAAACTACAGGATTATCTGTCTTAGTGGTTCTGTCACCAGCTGCAGATGCTGCAGTCACTGGAGCGCTGTATTAAAAGGGAACATGTACTGGTGCTGAGTCCACATTTTAGCAGCAACATACAGCCCCTGCTCCAGCAGGAACAGAAGCAGAGCAGAGCAGAGCAGACTTCTTGAGCTCTGCTGGTAGGACAAAAACTGTCTGTGCTGCTGCCGATTTTGCGTATCAGTTCCTCCCGTGGCTCCAGACAAAAAAGTCATAAGGAGAGAAGGTCAGCTCCCGGAGAACAGGGTCATGGTGCAGGAAGTAGCAGGATATGGAAGTGGAAGGGCCATGCAGGAATACAGCACGGCCTCCGTCACAGCCAAGACGCACTGTGCCACAGGCCATGTACACCCACAGAGAGTCAAACCAGCTGCCTTTTGTCACTTATGTCCTTACATAAGTGTAAGGAATCACAACTGCTACATTATTCTGCACTACTAAGTCTTGTGCAAGAGCAGCTTCCAGGAGTTTATGATGATTTTCTCAATTAATTCTAAAACAACCCCACCCCCCCAAGCCATTACAAGCTTAATGAAGATGAGGAAGTGAGATGGTCCCCTAGTTGCCTATCACAGTAAATCCTATTAGAAGTGAGGAAGTTTTTAAGTTACTCTCAGAGTTAAATAGGTCCTAGATACTGATCATCCAGCATGAGCTGCAATACTTCCAATGAAATTTTATGTAAGTTTTTCTTCCACATTAATCACACTTTTAAGCTGATGCCATTTCCACAACAAGGTTAAAACACTTAATATCTCCAAAGTTATTCTACTTATGTACTTTTTCCACCACATTTATTTCTAGTAACAAAAGGTAACTCTTTATCCCGTATGACAAGTCTTTTATTTGGAAATGGAATGCATAAACAATGACTTGAACGGGAAAGTCTTGCTCATTTAAAGACTTAAAATATTCTAATTTTATATGCTTTATGACTATTTTATGGGATATTATGAGGTCATTTTCATCAGAAATGCAAGACAGAGGACCAATAAACTCACAGTATGTAAAGGTGGAAGAGTGATTTTTCAACAGCTATATAAAAAAATAAGTGATGAAACACCAGAAATATCCAAATATGGTGTTCTGGATTTTCAGAAGCTACTCTAGAATAATCAGTGACTTGGTTGTTTTGAAATGGCAAAAATGGGAACATGCTATATGCATTCTTTATATCAGGAAAAATTTTCACACACATTTAACTTATTATGAAATAGGAGCTACAAATTAGTTTGCTTAAAAGAAAATAGCTCATTCCAAACAAATTCAAAACAGGTACAAGATATACCAAATGCAACCCCAGTTTTGCATAGACTTATTTATGTGTGTTTGATGCTAAAATCAACAGTCCTCCTTAGTTACAATTAACAGCATAAAGAGACTTTAACATGAACAAGAGCTAAATATTCACTTCAAGACTCCTTTCCATTGCCAGGAGCATGTAAGGAGGACTTCAGTATAGGAGAGACATACTGACATTTCTTTTGCCCGTGACAAAAGAAATTAGACACATTTCTTAATTTTTTTGGGACCCAAATATTTATACGTTCAGACTTTTGCAGTATCAGAACTGGATAAAATCCACTTCATTAACCAGTTACAGACCATAGGAGTTGACCTGTGTTCTTCAAGGTTATTCAGTGAATATTTTCCATCAATTCAGGTTTAACAGCTTTGCACAAACAGCATGCAATTGAAGAAACTTAAGAATCGTTAGGCTTAGTTTGTAAACATACTGACCAAAGCAAAACTAGAATTGGAAAGGAGAATTCTGCCTTTTGGAATTGTTTTAATTACATTTTATTTGATGCTGAAAGGAATGCACTCTGTATTTCACTTACTGTTACTAAGAAACTTGCTTTTTAAAATCTAGAACCATGGTTTCTAGATATAGCTGATAGCTGTGAAGTTTCTATTTTGGTGTAATAATTCAACCGGATTATTTTACCAGTTTGAAAGAAATAGAGCAAATACTTCCCTTAATGAATTACATTTCCATGGAATATACAAAAGCATACCTGTTCTTCACCAGGATGGTTTTTTTTCCTCTGTATTAGGGTAGTTTGTTGAACCTGTATTGTATTTAAGCAAATTTATTCCACCTGAATGAGGCATGTTTCATCTTATAAACAGGATGGGGCAGGTAGGGAGAGGAAAAAAGACCAAGGAATTATTCCCTTTGAAACGTGACAGAATTGACCTAGTAGGTCACTGAGGTACCAAATTATGAAGAATTTAAGATGTGTTAAGAGACTTTCTTAGCACATAACAATGATTTGCATTATGTGAATAGCTGCTATGCAAGAAATCAGGTTTGTCAACAATGCAGAAGGATTTATGTAAACTTGGATACCTACCAAAGGAAATCATGTTACAGTTTTTTCCACACCTTCATTCAGTTTAAGACAACTAAAACCCTCTGCTGTGTTGTGGACCAAGAATGTGGCAGAATTTGAAGTTAACAACCCCATCTGTCTCATCCGTCTCATCATATATTTCCAACAATGTATTTTTTAAGTTATGAAGTCACAATTCCTAGAATTTTCATTATCTCCATCATCAAATGAGAATTATTTGTAATTAATCCAATATTATATCTTTTATTTTTGACAGCCTCTAGTTTGGCAATAATGCTTGGTTCTTTTGTAATGCATTGTCTCGTTTTTTCACTTTTCATAGCCTAGTGGTGTGGGCACCACAATTTCACTTAATGAATTGTCTTAAAAACATAGATTTGGATCTTAATTACCATGGTCAGGATGCTTAAGCTTTTACTGAAGAGAAGCTGAAATGCAGGAAGTTTATATAATGACATCTGGCAGACTTTGAACCTTGTGAGGACAAAAGAGGGTCTTGAAACAGGAGGATATCAAAACTAGATTTTGGCAATATAGAAGACGTATTGTCCATGTAGTTTTGTCATAAGCTTTAAAAATACTCTTATTAAATAAGTTTTTCCTTCCTTAAGACCAGATAATACACAAAGCAAGTAAAAGTCCAGGGGTCAGAATCTTCTTCAGTTCTTAGTTATTCTCTATGAGCTTTTTTTTTTGTCTTTTCTTCATAAGATTCTCCATACTCATTTACTCTGCTCTTATCCACGGGATAAAGCCTGGCAGAAAAAAACCAAATTATTAGTTACATTATAGTCTGCTATCTGAAGGAATTAAACAGCTCTATGATGGTTAATTTTAAAAGTGAATTTGTCATCATATTCTCAGTTTCATATTCTCTGCCCATTTGTGGCAAAACCCAAAAGTTTTAAAGATTAGCTACAGACATATCAGCTTCTTCACAAAATGACTTAACCAGTTGTCTCGTAACAGGACCTCTTAAGAGATGTATTAGCTCCCCTAAAGCTTGGCTGGAGTATTTCTCAAGCAATCCAGGATACCTCTCAAACTTGAAACCAGTGTCCAGCCCCTATTTGAGCTCCTAACTTCCAGGAAAATACCTCAGAAGGAGACTTATTTTACTACACTTACATATGATTATATAAACCCCAAACTGCATTTAGTATTCATAGAATCATAGAATCAGTTGGGTTGGAAAGGACCTTGGAGATCATCAAGTCCAACTCTCGATCCACTACCACCGTGGTTACTAGACCATGGCACTAAGTGCCACATCAATGATTAGTTAGATGTACACATCCATATATCCCAGTATAATGTGAACTTGTCTTAAAATTCTTGTTTGCTCCACATGTAAGTATTTATCCTTGGGAACAAGAAAACACTTTCTGTAGCTTCACTATGAACAATATTTCATGAGTATTGCATATCGCCTTCTTCCCCATCTGATTTTAGTTACTAAAGAATCTGAAACTCATTAGGTACTCAACTTACAAGAGAACCAGATAACTTGTGTTTGCAAACTAGATAAAGAGAAAAGCAGAGCAGGGAAGTCCCTCACCAGAAGACACCTTTTGCTACTGCCTTGCAGAGCAACTTGGAAAGCATGCCTCAGATACTGAGCATATGCAGACATGTGGCCACTCAGCAAGGGTTAGAAGCCCAGAACTCCTAAGTGGGTTTGTGAATACAAGTTTAAGAATTTCTCTCCTTCTCTCTGCTTCAGGTATTTATGTCTCAGGCTTTAGTTGTGGGGTATTTGTTTGGTTTTTTGGCAACTCGAAAATGTGAAACTATCTGTTGGGAGGGAAAAAGGGTAACTGACAAAAATTCTGAGTCCTGTGAGAAGAGGAACTTTTTGACTACTCTGTAGCATGTCCACAATTACTGTCATTTATGGGAAAATGCTTTTGTTCCTCTTATCTCAAGATCTTCTTTACAGAATCCCCTGCTCACCATTCCATTCACTAGGCATATACACAACTACCACTATCCAGACCTTACCATGCTATATATTACTATAGTATAAAAATTCTGCTTGAAGTCTACTCCAAACTGTAGTTTTTTATAGCAATAAGACTGCAACCATCTACAGCATTTCTAAAAACTCCAATGAATATTAAAGAAAGTCATACCATCTTTGGTAAAGATACACCAGGAACACAACATCATCTCTAAAGCATGCCAGCCTATGAGATGTTGGCATAGTGATGATAAAAGCAAATATATCATCAATAAAGGTGTTGAATGCCTACAAATAAAAGAAAAGCATACTTCAGTGGGCTGCGAAGAAAGGAAGTCATCAGTCACACAAAGCTACAGATTTCCTATGTTTTTCAGTAGGAACACAGACTACTTCCATATTTATAGCAACACTTAAAAGTTATGCTGAAAAATTAATGCAAACTTTAAATGGCTTTCTTTGAATGAAGACCATACTGCCTACTACAAACCATACTGTTATAATTATGAGTAAAAAAGAAGTAGGACTGTTTCAGGTAAATGAGAGTATTGTCATGGGAGGGGAAAAACATGGGGTTAATTTCCGTGAAATCTTAAAAAGAAACTGGAAAAAACCCCCCCACATTTGTTCATTTATTACTCAAATATCTTAAGATTTGCTAAATGTCACTTCACTTTCATTTTCTGTAGAAATGAAAAACATGTTAATTTATTGCTCCTAAGAACATTAATCATTGGAGAGATTTTAAAATATTTCCACTGATCTTCTGGAAGCAATCATGTCTTGAATAAGGGATGGATAATGTTCTGCACCATTTTCACTCAACTAGGCATACTATAGGTTCTGTTTCTGCAGCAATAATGAAAGGTAAATAAACAGAAGAGCAACTCCTCTGGATCTGGCTCTACCCTACAGGGAGGTTACAGAAATCAACTCTTAACAGTGCACCGGCTCTAATACTCATATGTTGCAATAAACCGTTTCAACTCACTAAAAACATCAGGAAACAAATCCAGCAAAGAATATTCACTGTTGGGTTAACAAATTCAGTCATTAACATGGCTTCTCCTTTAAGTATCAGCAAGCTGTACATTAATCCATACCATAAGAAGGGGGGAAGTGATGTATCTAAGCACAGAAGGACTCTTCAAACTGAGCTAATGTTTATATGATAGAACAAAACATCAGCAGCAAATGGGAGTGTTGGAGGGTTCTGATTAGTTACAACAGGAGAGCTCTTTCTGTCAGGTCAGAACAAATCCGTTAATCTGAAGTGATTGAAGAATATGGATGGCACTTCTCAAGTCTGTGCAGAGGTTTGTCATAGAACAAAAAAACCAGGCCTTGCAAGTTGGAAAAGACAGTTTTTCCAAGTCAATACCTAAGTGAGTGATCCTACAATGATAAAAGGAAGAAAAAGCTAAGTGCTCTATCCTTCAGGCACATAGCCACTGCAAGTGAATGCATCAAGGCAGCCCATCTAATAGTGTTTAGACTAGATAATTTTCTTTTGAGAATACCTCACTTGAAGGTACTTCTCACAAATATATAAAGGGCATAAACATAAAACCTACAGAAACTGGAAAGTCACAGTTCAAATTAAGGAAAAAAAACAACAAAGCTCTCTAAAACAATGATCACAGATGAGCCCTCAGACTCTTCTTTCCACCTGAAGTGCAGGAGAGAGCAAGCAATTTTAAATATCCATTAAGAAAAAGTAAGTTACTCTCTCCAAAGCCCAGTAAGTTAAACATAATTGAAAACACCATATACTTCTTCCTCCATACGTACGAGCCTTTGTTCTGGGCAGTCTATGGCATCTAAACAGGAACCTTAAATGCTCTGTAAGAAAAGGCTATTCAGCAAGGTTGTATTACTTTCAAAGCTTCTTGCTTGAATAACCTCCCTTCACTGTTTATTTAACTGCTAATGGCTCTGCTCAGTTACCATTTTTTGATGGTGAAGTGAAATTGTGAAATTATTTCACTAATACACCTTTTACTTCCTTTTTTTAAGAAACATGCTGATTTGCCTAGTCCATGCCTTAAACACTATGTTTATTGTTATTTTTTACTCTATTTCCACATCAAACACTGCTTAGTTGCTATTCTCCTACCAGCTATATTTCAATCTGTTTTCCTAGATGTACTCTAGTTTCTTAAAAACATTAAGACAGTAGAAAGTTGGGCTATTGCTGTAGGCTTACAGAAATACTAAAGCTTTGAAAGGTTTTTTAAATTTTTAGATTTTAGTTCTTTTGTCCCAAATAATCTGTTCAGAATTGGACACCATTTCTTCAGTGTTTTTTAACACTGTTTCTTTTAAAGTACTGATGTTCTGTAGAACTGTAATACATCAACACAAAGGAAGAATGAAAGCATTTATGAATGGAAGCAGAAGTAAAAAGGGCACAAGTTGATGGCATCTAGGTCTTGATGATCCCAGCACATCCAGCCAGGGTTTCTCAGGACACAATAATCAGGAAAAAAAGGACAGTACAAAAATCCTAATGTCTGAGACTGGTAGGAAACGATGGAGTCAAAACTAGTCAAAACTAAAGAACTGATGTTCTTTAGGGGTACAAGAACAAAACTAGCATATGGTTGCCAACTGAGGAAGAACGTAGGAGACATACGAACTCAACACGGGTGTCACTTGTTATCTATATCAGCACAAGGAACCCTGACTGGGATACTTGGATATAATCATCTTGATGTCTGAATACAATACAAACCATGAGGACACCTGTTATACACGTATCAAAGGGTTAGTAATTTGATTTCGTTTTGAAATAAACTCACCTTCTCCTTCTCCAAGGTCTGATATTAAGCTTTGTTGCAGCACTGCATCATTTCCTACCAGGGCAGACTAGGCAGGGGGGACACCACAGTGCAGCCCCTATTCCCCCCCATGGAACAACCCACCACACACCATTGCCCAGGAGCTCAGAATTACCACACCAGCACAGTGTGTATAACTTCAGTCTCTGGTAGCTCCTGGAACCTGCCAAAATAAGGTCTCTTAGCAGTCCTATCTGTTTCTTGAGAACTATTCCTTGTCACTATAATCTCTCTCTTCCTAAAATGATGCATTAAATTGAGACTGATTGATTTATCTACAGGACCAACATCTGCACCCATACAAGACAGGTGACAGTACAAAAAGCAGTATTATAATAAAAACCAGGATGCAAGTATTCTCATTATACGGAAGTCATTATGAAAACCAAAAATTTATTTTTTTTTAAGGAGAGTTGCAAACAAGTTTAGTTCTTAAACAAAAAAAGTACTGTCAAGCTACGTATTACTAAGATGTTTCTTACAGAAAATAATTTTCAAAATGACTGCACCAAACTTCAAACTAGAGCTTTACTTACTTTGTATGTGAAAGCCTTCCATGGCAAGTGTGCAACAGATTTCATCTAGAAATAAAAAATATCAATTTGTAATAAATTTGGAAGTCTGGAAGTCTAGAAGAAGAGACTAGAAAAGCAGACTTACATTACTTTTCAATCTTACCTTGTAGTTTACAAACAGTTGGGGCAGCATAAACAGGAATCCAAAAGCATACACTCCTGAAGATAAAATATGGAAAACAAACAAATGCACACAGATGTACATCACACAACTACACCTTCCCAATTAGCGATTTAAAGTAATTTTTTTCTAAAGAGAGAAGATGTATCTAATTCTTTTGTTCACTTGCGTTTACTCTTCTCCCTTTCTCAATCACTGTGATTATTTTGGAACCTACAGCCAAGTTATTGCTCTGTATTACACTGATCCAACTGACAGCAGTCAATTTTCCACTTCTGGGTCTTAGCTTCCATTTGAAGAAATAAGAATAGAAAAAAGAACAGAAGAAGGGACTCACCATTGACAAAACTGTTAATCAACCAGGAGTACCAGCTACAAACAAAGAAGACAGTCCAGTTATTTTTTCACTTCAGCCAAAATTATAACACATCCTCTACGTGACTGTATGCTGACTACACCAAGAAATGGCTATGTTGCAAATTACTTTACACAAGAACTAAATACCTCACATCTTCTTTTGATTAGGAGGGGCTCCAGAGAAGGTAGTTTAAGCAAAGGTTGCTTATCAGTCCATAGATGTCTGGAGAGATTTATCAACTGCTTTTATAATTTTTTAGACCATTCTAAGACTTCTGTATCCAAACTGACATCAGATAATACTGTGCACTGAACCCTGATTATATTAAAGCTTGCAAATGTATTCTAAAGACACTCTATTCTAAATACCAAAGAAACACTTAATATGGCACTGTAAGGACTTATCAAATTCAAACAACAAATATCATTCAGTGCAAACCATGATAGTAGGTACTTCAGAAAAAAAAAAGTAAGCACAAGGAATCTACATTTTTCCTTCCTTACATCTAATAACCCTCCCAGATGTTCAACAGAGCACAGTCTTAGCAAAGTAACAGTAGTGATACAGACAGTGTTTGAGTTCCATACCTTTGCTAGTGTTTGTAGAAACAGCTAATAAATGTGATGCTCAGGTTGCATCAATTAAAATTAAACTTGCACTGCTGTGTTAGTGAGACGTTAATAGCAGCAATACAGTTGTAGCAGCACTTCAATAATCCACACGCATTTAAAAAATGCATCGAAAAATGCCTCCAAGATTAAAGGATAATCCACTGTCAACATTACTTGTTCTGTCACATTTCCTTACAGATTTAACAATGGTAAGAACTCTACGATATGAATTGTTTTCATTTCCTTAAGCTGCAGCTCATAAAACACCTGGCACACAGTATTTTCCAGTACTGAATGAATTCATGAATTTTGCAAGAAAAGTAGGATTTTTAAATGCTGCATATTTGCTAGTTCATTACTAAGACAAAAGTCCTTTGAAAAAACTGCTTTTCTAACAGCCCAGAAACTGTCCCAGTTTCTAGTACAAGTGCTACGGCTCATGAACGCAGCAACAATAATTCTTCCTGATGTTATTTTAGCTACTGCTTGCTCGCTCCCATCCCTTCTGGGCCTAAAGACCATAAAAAAATATGTCTACATGGCTACCACCATGCTTGTGTTTGCAGATTTTTTCTGCAACAAAGTCTCACGGCTGCACACTGGCTTGCATCCCTCCAATACAAACCAGCTATTTTCACAGAATCACAGAATATGCCGAGTTGGAAGGGACCCAAGGATCATCAAGGCCAACTCCTGGCCCTGCACAGGACCATTCCCAAGAATCACACCATGTGCCTGAGAGTATCATCCTAATGCTTCTTGAAGTCTGTCAGGCTTGGTGCTGTGACCACTTCCCTGAAGAGCCTGTTCCAGCACCCAACCACCCTCTGGGTGAAGAAGAACCTTTTCCTATTCTCTTGGGTCCTGTCACTGGTCACCTCAGAGTGCCTGCCTCTCCTCTTCCCCTCATGAAGACGCTGAAGACTGCAATGAGGTCTCCCCTCAGTCTCCTCTTTTCCAGGCTGAACAGACCAAGTGACCTCAGCTGCTCCTTCTACGGCTTCCCCTCAAGGCCCTTCATCATCTTCATTGCCCTCCTTTGGACACACTCTATTTTGAGTGAAAATGGACAAGGATTTCACCTGTTCATGAAATATTGAGTCTCCAGCTCTTGCTGAAGCATTAATATGTTGCAGGAAATCCATAGATTTAAAGGAATAAAGAGGCATTTCTCAAAAATGCTTTTGCTTGCTTGCCATCCTAGCTATCTTGTTTAGGAACAGACAAGCCTCTTGGTCAGAGCAAATAATTTTGGGACAGTTTTTGCTTCTCTCTGTTAATGGACAAGTTCAACCACTGAGTTCATGTCATCTCTCCTGTCACCATATTGGTCCTCTGAACATCAATGGCAGCTTTCTTCCTCCTCTTCTGACTGACAGCTAACTCATGGATGCAAGTATTGAATTCTGTCCTACAGTAATATCAGATTACTTGTGAAATACAACAGTCTGTAGCCTTACAGGGTGTTAAAAAACCAGCCAGACTCTTCAGCTTTAGATATTACAGAACAAGGAAGCTTTCAGTTCCTGACTTATGAATTAAATAACCCATCATCTCCAATTCATTAATATAGAAAATATGTGAAATGTTTCAATTCCATATAAGATCATTTATAGAGTTATAGTACCTTTTGTATTTGACATTCAGCAAGGAATAACCTGCACCTCCAATACACAGTGGATAGAGCAAATATGACAAGTATTTCATAGCCTAATAGACAAGGAAAATAGTTTGTTAGTTCACATTTGATATACAGATTTTTAATGGCATTAACCAGAAGACAGCAACATAATTTTTTCCTCAAAATCTTTTTCCTATTCCCAAATGTCTGCTATTATTTCCACTATGCTTCCAGTTCTAGTGGTGGTAGTGAAAATTCCAATGCCCAATTCAGACAACCCTTAGAGCACAGGCACCAACAGGCAGCACGAAGATCAGGGTCTAAGAGTAGCTCCCTACTTAGCAACAATGTTGCCACCTATGCTTAATTCCTGTCAGAAATCAGGAAGCACGTGAACTATCCTTCAGTATAAATAACAAGTACAAATATCAACTTTCGAATTTTTGAATGAACCCTTTCAGATCTCTCTTCTGGTAGTCAATTGCAATTCTACTTCTCAGAACAATGTTTCAACCAGATTCAGCTAACAAAAGAACTCTTTTGCTGTTTCTTTTCATAAATTATCGGAATAAGTCTTCACTATCTGATCATCCACACAGTGACAACTATGAGAACATGAAAAATGCACTTGCAGCAAAAAAAGAGCAAAATAAGTCACATATATAGACTTCATAGAAGTCAAATGATTCCCTCTTACCTGGGCGTCATACTCCTCAGTTTTCTTTTCAGAGTCATTGTATGTACCAAACTGCAATACATATAAAAAGCATAATCAAGTCAGAACATGGGGGGAAAGCACTGGCTGTCCAACTCCCTAAACTCAAGATTTAAACTGCAAACTAATCTGCTTAGACATTAAGTAGGTAACAGTTCAAAGTTCTTATAAGCTTCTATGCAAGAGAGTTATACATCTGTGCTGTGCAGCCTTACAAGGTAGGCAAAAAGATTAATTTTTCCCTTCATATTTTACACCAAACTTCCAGGACTATTTTGCTTAGAAAAATGTTGTCAAGACAGCAGAATTCAGAAAGCAAAAGCATAGTGAAGGAGCTAAGATTTTGGCAGATATAGGAAGCCTTTATTAAAAAACCATGACCACGTAGAGGTCAGTTCCACATGTCCAGAAACTATGACTGCTTAAACACAGTTCCTTGAACACTGACAAAGGAACAACAAGAGCTCTCAGTTGCTCAAGGCACAGACTTAAAGCAGCACAAAATTCCAGTACTTGTTGTAAAGTAAACACTGAAGATTAGACAACTGTTTCTCCTACCAACAAGATAAACTTTCAGTGTAGATTGCAATTTCAAAAGATTACACTCACATTAAAAAACGTTAATTTGAATCCCTGCTGCCACTGCATGTTCTGCAGTTGCAGGACTTCATTTTTACCCAGAACAATCATCAGAGTGTGCTGTTCCCAGAACATGTCACATCTTCTATTAGTTCCACAATGGAGAAATTACACCTACAGCTTCATGAGAAAGATACTTTCATATTTCAAACCATGATGTCAGTTAAGAGTGCCTTTCCAACAAAGTGGCAGGAGCATGGTCCCACCTCAATTTAGCAGGACTGACAGAGAAGTTCTGAGGATTCTCACATCATTAATACAAATAGCTGCTTCTTCTACAGGGCTCAAAGAAAGTAATAAGTTTGAAAATGCTCATCCTGCTTTTGGATTAAGCCCTTCCTAAAGAGCAGATGTACACAGGAAACTTCAATGGGTTTTCTTTTTGAATCTTCATCTCACTAAAAGCCAAGTTGCATAGTAATGTGAAAACAGATGGATGACTCAAGAGTGTAATCATTAACAGGGCAATGTCTACTATACCTGAAATTTGGGTCTCAAGCCTTGCCACTTGATTGTCATCTTCAAGGCTTTCTTCACTTTCCAGACCTGTGATTAGCAAAAACAAAACATGCACGTAAAAGGTTATCCAAAGGAATGTCTTATGTAGGATCCAGATCAAGATTCCAGAGCACCTATTTCAAGCACCCATTGCAAAAAGCAGCCTGATTGCAGCCTTCTGCCTGTGTCTATACAAACCAAATGCCATGTCATCAGACAAGTACAACATTGTGAGCCTGGACTATTATGTCTCTGTACCAGATGATGAACTTTAAATGAAATAATGTAGTCCTTCCAGGATATCTGGATTGCAGTGCTCAGGTGGAGGTCAGATGCTCTCAGCACCAATAGGCACCTGAGGCATTTAGAGTTTGACCCTAACGCAAGCAAAGGTTTAGTTCATCTGAAAATTTACTCAGGTACTCATGAATTTCTGACGTATTTAGTTGGTTCTTTTAAATTATTTAGATTCCAAGGATCAAAATATAAGATACTCTATAAAAGAAGGAGCATATTTATAAGGGCATATATATATATATATTTATCCCTGAAACTTAGTTAAAATTTCAGACAGTTAAAGAACATTTGAAATATAAGACTAAATTGCTATATATGGGAACAAAACCACCAGAAAATCTGATACAGAAAACCTAAAACAGAGAAATACATCAGACTTTAAAATCTCAACTTACAGGAAAAAAAGGTTACAGTCAATGAAATGGTACTATTTAAGACACCATTGTTCATTACACAACAAACTGAAATTTAAGAATCACTTTCTGATTTTGCATCCAACAATTTAATCACTAGAAGTTCTGAACTGTTTTGCTTCCACAGGAATTATCTGCAACTATAGTAGATGTGTAGTCAAAAATTCCACAAGAGTCTTGAACTTATTTTTAAATGCTGAGAAGTAAACAGACCTACAAGCAATGCTAGGTAGAGAAATCTCATCTTCCCATTACTGCTGACTTTGTGCTTTATTACACATAAATCAGGCTTCTAAGCAGTACTTGCAACCCAGTGACTGGATGTGGTCTTCTGGAATAATGAACACAACCAGCAGTCTCCCCATTTTCCTCCTACCCCAGTCACCTCAGTTCGGGCACACTGTTTGACAGCACAAAGCCTGCTCTTTGACAATGTTTCCGTGAAGGCTTGTTGACATGGTTATACTTGCCTGGCCAGGAGTGATGCCTATCAGATGATGTGATAGGAGGAACCTCAGCATTGCTATATGTTTGGTTTCTACAATATCATCTGGACCATCTCAGAAAAAACTGATACTTCCAGTTGATTTATTTGATCAAGGGACACAATCTCCTCTGCCACTGAAAGCCAGTTAAATAATGATGCAAACACAGCATGGTACAGCAGAATTTTCCAGTAACTAGTTTAGCATTCTTTTTCTACAATAAACTGTGGATTTTGCTGCAAACACTTGTATTTGGTTCTAAAGCTTTAAGAACTCACCTCAATCAGTGCACCAATGCCTGCTGGGATCAGTACCAATAAACTTGTTTGTTCATCCAAAAGGAAAAGAAATATTACCACAGTACTAAAGCACCGCCAAAGCACTAGACAGAAAAAATAAAAACAAAAGGCTTATTAATATTTAAATTAACAGCTGAGATGACAGAAGACTCCTGGCCTATTTAATGTAATATTGTCTTACACAGTGTAAGCATGAACTCCTGTATACATCTTGATATATCTAGCAGCCCTAGAAACAGGCAGTGAACTCCAGGCAAATAGGGAACAAAAACATTTTATGCAGGCCTTATCACAAAAGATGAAAGAAAATTGGAACATTTAAGGAAGACTTCCGTACTGCAGCAATTCAGCAATGTATCACTACTATTATGAACTATATTCATGATTCTTGTTTCCAGGAAGCTGAAAGGCTGTGAGGTAATGTAATGTTAGTCTCTGAAACTCACACAACTAAATTAATGTTTGTAAATGTTATGTAATACATTTTATATACTGTTAAATAGATCTATTTTATGTATTTCGTTTACTTATTTATATTTAAGTTTATTTTTCAGGTTTTGCAAAACCTTGGATGCTTGTAAGTGATTCCCAACTAATTCTTACATTGAATATCCATCCCCCCAAACAGGGAAAAAAGGAAAAAATAGGTACAACACACTCAGACATCAACAATTACACTGTACCACTCCACACCAACTGCCTGTCAAACTTCTCCCTTAGGGTAAGAAGGAGGCACAGGCAGAAAGGTGACTAAGGCCTGCAAAAGAGAGGATGGAACTATCAGTATCTGAAGACTGATACTTTAACAGTAAAAACCCCTTAGTTGCTCTTTTCAATTTGACTTTACTGACTTCTGAAACTGAAAATTGACACAATTCTGAAATTCCATGGACCATTTTGAATTTTTACTAACCTTTTGGCATACACACACCAACAGCAGTATAACTGCTTTAAAGAAAACCAAATGCACTCTAATAAAAATGATAGACATGGGAAAAACATATTGCTATTTATTGTAATTTAGAATGCCTTTTTTTCCCTGGTATTGATATTCCTCACATGTCCTAATCCATCTGTAAACATGCTAGAATTAGGGATAGTCTCAGAGGTCAAGTGACTCCAGGTTTATCGTTTTGGTTTATAATCAAAAATGGAAAAAATCTGTTAGAAAAACCTTCATCTATTTCTAGGAAGGCATGGCAGGATGTCAGATAACTATGTTCCCTCATCTTTTCTATATACAAGACAATTCAACCCTCCCACGCTCTCCCACTCCCCACGTCCCAGGAGTCTCTATTGCTCCTGTTTACATCAAAGCCCAAATCAAACAAGAGCATTACACAACAGCACTTTCCACCCCCAAATATTTTGGAACCTGGGACTTGCAGCATTACCCATGATAGCACACTCTCTCCACCCACAGACCTTTTTCTGGTCCTCATGCTTTTTTCAAAGTACTCTTCTGTTCCTTCAGCGAGGAAAATACGGTAATTGACTTAGTATTAAATTCCAGTTGCAAGACAGTCAAACCCAGAAGTGACATGAGTGCTTAAAAGCAACTAATACTGAAGCTAATGAAGTTAGAACCATTTAACTCTATAGACTGTTAGCCATCTTTTTTCATACACAAAACCATCTCATTTTGCTATCTTGGTGAATCTACAAAGTGTCAACTTAGGCTAAGACTGAAAACACACAGCATATATTACACAGCATATTGCACATCATTTTGCATTCTGGTCCATACCTGCTTTTGTAGACATCCCAATCATGCTCCTCTTTTTCTTCCAAAAACTTATGTCATTTTTGAATGCAAGGAAATCAAACAGAAGCTGCAAATAGCAAGAAACATACTCATTTACTTGAAACATGCACTAATTAGAGACTGCCAGTTGAACTGCTAGAAATGCATTTAAAATGGAATTCAAGAAAAACCTGTTTTAGAAGCTTCAGAAATTAAAATTAAGTATCACAAATAAAAGCTAAAAAGAAAAGCTGGTTTAGGAGCCCAGGCTCTAAAAGCAGTGCAAAATGACAGGATGAATTTCAAATACTGCTTCTGTGCAGCTGCACAAATCAGCATTCTGTAAAGAAAGTCAGTGACCCAATACAGGGTAACACATCATAGAGGGTGAAGAACGAGGACCCTGATGAATTGTGTACCTCGAGAGACCAGGGAAAGGCTCACTAAATTAGGTTCAAAGTGCTCTGTATTGGATTCATAGTCACTTCAGGTCTGGATAATACCAAAGCTCTTTTAAAAAAAATCCTACAATACAGCAAGTCAGGTTTCTTCTCTATTTTGTCACTAAGCTGACCTAAACTTCCAGGATATTTTGGAATTCGTAGCAAGTTGGTTGTTTTTTAATGCAGTATTTTCATTTAATACATTTTTCAGTATTTCCTTTAAATATTCAGTGTCTTAAAAAACCAGCACAGATTCAAAAACTTCTTGGGTCAGAGAATTTTGATGAGAAAGTTTTGGGGGGTTATTTTGTGTGTTCCCCCCCCCCCCTTGTTTTTTTTGTTTGTTTGTTTGTTTTTGGCTTTGGGGTTTTTCTTGTGTTTCAGTTTGGTTTTTTGCTTTTGTTTTTTTTTTGTTTGTTTGTTTGGGATTTTGTTTGTTTGTTTGTTTTAATTTGGGCAACCGAGGCATGGAAGTAAACAGTACCAGAAAAGCCTATCCCAGTCTACAGGTATCTTACAACCTGACAAACAGAACGGAAAAAATAAATTAATATGCATGGGAAACCTAATGCTTTCCAATCAAATTAACTGTATGCAATGTAAGTAAAAAGAAACATAGCAAACATTCTCAGCAAGTTCTTAACTTTCCCAAAGTAATTGTGTTGAGTGTAATTGTAGACTACAAAAATGTTCACAGTAGAACAACCAAGTCTAAAAAAAATTGTTCATTAAAACAAAGATTCAGATTTAAACCAAGACACACACAATGTATGTGTGACATACACAATAACAAATAGCCATGACTGGACACCTGTGCTCTGCACTTTACAGCAACATTTTTGGAACAATTTATATCAGCTGATCTAAATTTCTCCAGGGATTAGAAGTCAGAGATTCAAACTCTACTATCGGTGCTGCAGCTATGCCATTGCAGTGGTAAACCTTGTGACATGTCAACAAAATTTGAACCAATGTTGACAGGCATATTAAATTTAGGGGCTTTGGTTCAACTACAGAATAAAAAAAAAGTGATTATGAAGTTTATGTTTTATATTTCATCAAGATTGTTAGTTTTTATGTAATTTATGTAATTTTATGTAATTATCCCAAATTTCTGTCTTATTTAGGATTTTTATAGCTGACTTGTACCAGAAAACACTTCCACTGCTCTACTGAAATTACTGTTTCCAAGACCAATTCTTAATAAACAACTGAAATTCAGACACCTGACTTTTTTTTTTTTTAAATATTATGTAGTTCCTAAAAATTAAAGCTACTTACATGGAATGCTGCTACGAAGAATGTCAGAGCCAGAAAGTAAAGGTTAGTATCAACAAAAATTCCTTTTACTTCATCTGCATCCTTTTCTGAAAACCCTAAGAAAAAGAACAAATCATTATGCAAGAAGTATCAGACAGTTCATTGCTGTTATGCTAGAATATGAAAGGAATCTTATGTCACCTGCACAAGTTTCATTAAGGAATCATAAATCCAAAACATGACAGAAACTTTATTGGTAAAACCCAAGTCTACCTATATTTTGACAAGTTTTTGGCTTGCCTTAAACTAAACCCATTAGTTACAAGCCTTTAACTTGTGTAATTACAATGTGTTTTGTAACATGTCTTTAAAATGTTGTGTGATTACAGACTAAACTGAACATCTGATAGACAAATGCCAACACAGAGGAAATCATTCTGGCCTAAGTTGGAAGAAAAAAGGTTATTCAAATTGGCCTCTGAACTTTTTTTTGATACACAAGAAGAGTTAGCTTCACATCAAAAGCCGAAAAGTCAGAAAAGGAATATACTGTAAAGGACAACAAAGGTCAGTGAGAAACACAGTTGTAGATGCAACGGTGTGATTCAAGTCTACAGTTCTCAGAAAATACACAAGGCTGTGTTTATGACACTGGTGCTAATTCTGACTTTGGAGAGTTCAGCACCAATTTACTTCACCATCACAGTAAGAAGAGTGTACTCATTTTCAAGTGATTTTGGAGTTTTGCTACTAACCTAAGGTGATCTTTCAAAAATTTTTTCCAAAGGGAAGATTTCAAACCTTATGATTCACTATCTATAAACTTACAGAGAACAAGCAGCATCTTAGGCAAGCTTTTTTTCCAGGCAGAGGAAGCACTCTTAGGATAGGTCTTGCTATACATGTTCATCACAAGACAACCAAGATATGGAACATGAAAATTTCAATTATGCCATTCTGAGGGGGCTCACAAAAAAATCATGGAGAAGTGATGGTGGCCAAATACCCTATACAAACTCTGAGCAAGCAGTTACTTGATTCTTTCAAGACAGTTATTTTTAGAGGACATACTTGCAGCTTCAATATATATTAGCCTGAGCTAAGGAGAAGCAGTTGGATTCTACTTGGGATGACTTTATTCCTTACTCGCCCTCTCTTCCCCAATAAAACATGAGAAATGCTTAGACTGCAAAAGAAATGGAGAAAGTCTAGGCTCTCAGTTAAGTTACACTGTACACAGGTTCTGTGTCTTACACCACTACATTCTGAAACCAGTGCTGAACCAGAGCAGATTATGTTTTCCCAGCGGAATCAACGTTTTAAGTGTTAAGTTGTCCATCGTAAAATATTAGCTCAGAGATGACAGTGAATAACCAAACCCTCTTGCCCTGACTAAATTTTGGTGAACAAAAAAACAACACTGAGTAGTATGAAAGCAGCATTATGTCTGTTGGGAAACTAGTAGAATACTGCATTTATCTGTATTGGGGAAAAAAAGATAAACTTGGAAGAATATAAAAAACATTACAATAATACAGCACAGAAGCTTCAAAGTTCAAATTGCTGTCTGAAGAGCTCCAAAAAAGAGGATCAGAAAGAATCCTACTCTCATAGATCAACACCAGTTCAGTTAAAATGTAGCTCCTTAGAGAAGCATAAAGAAGCCAACTACAGTCTTGTAACAGAAAACTAAGTCAGCAAATATAACCCTGAAAATTAGATGTGGATTTTTTTAAGTGATGATTGGACTCACAAAGGTGTGCATCAGTGAAACAAGCAAAGACAGTAAATGTTTAGCTTGGCTATACCATCACCAACGGAGCACATGAACTTCAGAGTGAAAGTGTATACATTCCCCATTACATTTAAGCGAAACATAGAATTTAAGTTTCATGCATGTAAAGCCTCTAGTTTATCAGAATTACCTTATAAATATGTAACTGAGCCAAAGCGAGAGGTCAGACAGTTTTGGTATCAGAATAGTATGATCAGAACCTAGATGACTCCTTCTTCATGCCAAGCTTGAACTCAGAGACTTTGCTGTGCCTGACTGTATTTCACTGTAGATATATGGCTACAGTGACCCGCTGTATATAACTCATATCAAAGCTTATGTACCACTGACCCAGCTTTTCTGTTCCACGGATGATAGGAGATACCAGTGTGAAAATTCTCCTCTTGATTATGTCCTCTTATGCTTTGACAGAGTACTATCCAAATAAATTTCCTTTTAAAAATGGCTGATTTACCTCTGTATTCTTGTTTCCTACCACATGTCAACATATATTTTCATCTTTAACTTAAAGTGAAACAATGCAAGATTTGTAGCATGAGAAAAAAAAGGGTCATCTGTGTACTTAAAAGAAACAAATTGAGGGGATAGTTGTGTTTTTTTGGCCTAAAGACATTAAAAATAAACATACCAATGGCCTAAAGACATTAAAAATAAACATACCAAATTGCTGGAGGGAGTACACAGCATCCTGCATGTGGATCCAAAATCGGAGTTTTCCAAGAGATATTTTGTCATATGACACTGTAAGAGGTAGCTCTGTTGTTGAACGATTTATAACCTGCATTTCAAAAAGATATAGTTTCATTTTTAATAGAAGAAAAATGGCAACGATTAATTCCATTCTTTCTTTTTATATAAAGAAAGCGATTGTATCATTCTATAATTTAATCACACAATTTTAGGAAGTCTGTTTTTTGAAAGGGAATAAGATCTTAGACTTCTATACCATGCTGGAAGTCTTAGGGGTTTTTTCCAAGAAATGTTAAATTACCAATTTGTTCTGTTCAAGTTCTTATATCAACCTCACTGTTCCTGTATACAAATGCCTCTGAGATGGCAGCATAAAGTGGGAAAAGCATACTTGAGATAATTCTTTTGACAGTACTTCTCTGAATGTAAATGCTAAGATTACCTATACTAGAATATTTAAAAAAACCAAACCCCAAAAAATTGCCACAGTCAGAACTTTAGCAAATTGAGGCTGGTTTTGAAAGAAACTGAAAAGGTAGGGAAGCAAGATGATGCTACTAGCTCAGACTAGTGAAAACGCCACAGCTAAAGCTAAGCAAGATACTTTGCGATCTGGGGTGTCACAGAAAACTTCTTCTTGCCCCAAAAGAAACAAATTTCAGCTAATTCTATTGTATCATTTACACTTCAGTTAGATGAGAACTACTTGGGGCCCCTTTAAGATGAGGAAAAAAACGTCCTAAATTGCCTCAGCTCCTTCTGCATGATAGTTGTCCATCTCTCAAACTTCCTCTCAGATGTCAGAATTCTCTGCAGCTACTTCAGTACAAGTTTAGGTAGTATGTTTTACATTTCCAGGGATAGCTCAGGAACTCTGCAACAGTTAAAGATCTATTGCTCCAGGCTCCTAATTACTCCCAATCATGATTCCCATCTCAGTCCTGCTACTCTACACTGTATCTGTTTCTACAGTAATTAGTTATCTGACACTTAGCCAAGATGAATGGGCTTCTTCTGATTCTTGTGACACAGAACATGGTTTTAGCCTCCCCATGTATCAGTCAGGTGTGAACTGGAGTTACATTCACTCTCCCATTCACTGTTTCCTTCAGTGAGTACAAATGAATCTCAATCTCACCACCATCCCAAGACCCTGGAAGCTTTTCAGACTGTGGCAGAACATGCAGGTGTACTAGAGATACAAAGGGAAGCTGAGAAAGTTTTATGAATACAGCAGGGAGAAAAGCTTGAGAAACTAGAACAGTGCCAGGAATCTCTGAACTGAATAGAACAAAGGAAAAACAACTGGGTGATACCAATGTGGATAGAACTGACTGTAAGGAATGCTGCCAAGATTCTACAGCCGTTTACCAAAAACTATATAAACATCTGCTAGGCTGCTTTTCCTTTTTAAAGGATTCCTGTAATCTATCTACTCTCCTTCCAACTTGTCAGTCTATCCATGATAGCACTAACATTTTTGGGAGAAAAGAAATTTTATCTGTGGAGGACAGACAGGAAATAAAAATTTTACAAGTGCCTGTAAATTTTACAAGGCAGCATGCAGCAAGTGTACCTCAAACAAAGAACTACTAAGAAGTTAGGGGTAGCATAGGGAGAAAATCGGATTGCAATACAAGACAGACAGGAATTCTCCAACAACAAAAGTAAATTAAATGGAGATAGAAGGATTAGAAGAACGAACCCTTTTTCACTGAGCAATTAAAAGTCCGCATGTGCTGCCCCACAACCTTGATGTGAGTGTGATGGTTACTAAGCCTTTGAAAGCTTGAAGTTACCAAACCTCTGCAATACAACCTGCTCTTGTAGTACAGCGTCAGAACATCACACATTACTTCTAGCACTCTACTTAATCAATATGACAAAACAGCATGTAAGCAGTATGAATTTAAATTCTGCGCAATCCCCAAAACGCCAGCACTGCCAAGCACGTTTAAAAACATGAGGAACACACCACCTCTGGACTGCAGTACTTACCACAGAAGACGTACATCTTGATCAAAATAATAGTCAGTTCACAGTCTACACAGCCTAGCACAAGCAGGGAAAATGCATCTTCAGCTCCATGACTTTAGATCTGGCACAGCAAACAGACAGCATCTGTTCCTCTATTTACAGCCAAACATTAACCTGGCTCCACAAAAGCTGTACCACCTTTTTCCCTTATTCTTTCCTGCTCTTCCCTTACCCCTCATTATCTCAGAGTATATTTACTACAAGATGACTCTTTCTGCAGTGCTTGAGAGCAGTGTGGCCAGTCACTACTGAGGTGTCACATGAGTCAGTGCTGGAGGGGAAGTCTGCTAGTTTTAATGGAGTGTCTTTGTAGCACTTCTCAGGATCTTCAATGACTTCAAGGCAGTGAGTTACAACAGCATTAACTGTAACTTGATGACAACTGCAGGACTGTCATTAGTAACACGAGAATGTGAATTTGTTTGTAAACAGGGTACATGACTTGATCAGTGAGAAGTTCGTATGAATGTATATTGAACTGAATGATCTGTGATAAAAAAACTTAAAACAAAGGACAAAACCACTAATAAAGACATTGCAAAAGTATACCCAAGGAAATATTGGACAAAACTATCTGCTATCAAGACTTGTAACAAATGCTCAGGACTTTATTCTGTTGAACAACCTTGAGGTGGAAGGGATACAAGTTCTTAAAGATTCTCCCCAACACTAAGTAGCAAAATTCTTTGAGCTAAAGTTAATGAATTGGAGAGAATTTAGAAGGTCTATGGAAAGTTTACAGCTACTAAGGCTTTCATGTAGAAGATGAAGTATTCAAACATACTCATTTAACAATTTTGAGACACTCCCCAAGATGGTTGGTCCCAGTAACTCCTAATTACCAAATTCCAATTGGTACAACTGAAAAGAACTGCAAGGCTTAACAAAGAGCTGCTAAGATGAACATGTTTTAGATACAGGAGACTGCCATGTGTAACTTGCAGCAAAGGAACTGCATAATTTCCTACAAGAGAAGATTTGGGCAAAAACCGAATACAGAAAATTCTATTTAAATTTATAAAAAACTCTTTCTACTTTTTTTTTACTTCTGGAGTGACTGAACACTAAAACAAGTTGCCCAGAGAGGCTATGGCATCTCCATACTTGGATATAACCAAAACTCAGCTGGAGAAGGTCCTGAGCAACTCACTCTATATGATCCTACTCTGAGCTGGGTCACTGTACTGGCAATCTCCAGAAATCTCATACAATTTTATCCTTCTGTAATTCCATTGATTAATGTGAGAGCACAGAATCATTGGATGTACTGCAACATCAAGCTTTCAGGTGCTCAAGTTGCTCTAACATGACAGAGAGCAGTACCAGAAAATTTAACCACAAGTGAATTTTGTGGAGATAAGAGAATGAGTAGCTACTGACTTGTGTCCTTGTAACTCCACTATCAGTTGTAGATATGTGAATATGTTTATTTCCTAGAAGATATCAGAAGCCACTCTGGGATGCTAACACAACTTCTTCAGGTTAGGGAGTCAAACTACTCATGAGACTTCTCCTGCCACAGCTACAGTGATGTCCTCCATATCACCCCAAAGACAGAAACAATGGAATCCAAATATCTTTTGGTGGAATAGAAGACAGTGCTTGGCAGATAATTCTGCCAGAAGGGAATCTCAAACCCGGATCCGGCTTCTGCAGTACCACAGTTGATCACATTAAGTTAAACTGTCATTGAGTTCTTTTGTGCATTTATACTTTTTCATTACAGCAAACAACCAATGAAAAAAATCTTAATTAAAACAACAGTGAAGATTACTGTTAAAACTGTTAAATGTAATTAAAGATATTCTATTACTCACCATCAAATCTTTCACTCTGTTGCTTAGCTGATCAATAAATAATATTGGAAGGTAATGCACTGTCTTCCCCAACTGAACCCTAGGATGTTTAAACATGGATTTTATGACTGCAGTGATCTAAAAAGCAAACTACTTTTATTCAAATTAGCACTCATTCATCACTTTCAGATCTACTCATGTAGATATTTCCCACCATCTTTTCAGGCACATTTTCTTTTAACATATAGCAAGAAATTAGCCACTGGCCTAGAATCTTTCACTGAAAGATATTTGCATTAAAAAGTTTTGTTTCTTTTTACTCTTCTGTAGAAAGACAGAATAAGCAAATAAAAAGACAAATGAAATTGGTTGTGATGATGCTGAAGCTTTTGCATGATCGGGGTAGAGGAAATCTACAACTCCATGGAAGAGAAACATGCTGGAGTCTACTACCATATATTTGTATCCTTTGTCTCAAGTATCCTGCTCGTATTGCAACAATAACAACTCTCCACCATCTTCCCCACTCCTCTGCACCTGGCAGGTCATCTATCAGGTCAGCAGCATCATATGCTCTAGCATGAGGGCTGGTGTGCACACAAGGAGGCCAAATACTACCTCAGAGAGCGCCCAAGGAGCAGAAATCTCCCCTGCCATCTCTTCCACAGAAGGTCTCATTTGGATTGCTCTATCAGCTCACCAACGTGCATGAATCCAATAGAAACCACCCAACCTTCGAGCCCTCTATCAAGCTGATTAAAGCTATTTAGCAAATTATAACCTATATGCAATTGCTTTGTCAGTATCTTAGAAAAGTATTTAGCCCAGTGCTCTAAGAGAGACAAATTCTTAAGGTCTTCACTAGAAAAGGAGTTATCTGCACTGTGATGTTCTCAGTAAAACTCTATGGAACTAGTCTAAAAGAGCTTTGTAAAGCCTTGAAAGCTGAATTTTAGTTGTTGACAAAAGAAAGAAGTCTCTGTGCATCCTAAGAAAGACTGCATACTAAATATACAAAGTGCAACAGTAACACAGAGGAGTACTAAACTGAGGCTCAGAAATATTGCTTGGTTGTTTAACCAAAGTGGTTTAGACTTCTAAGTAATAACTACGATTAAAGCTATTGCTAGTGGAATTGCAGCAGGTTATTTCATATCCAAACTATTTCCTCTACAATATAATGACAAAACAGCACTGATGCAAATCTAAACATGACCAGAAAAACATCCTCGTTCATCAAACCCAGTTTAACAACCTCTTCTTGTTATGTGCCTATCCTATGAGTTACTAAGTTTTTCTCTTCTGGCTGGAAAGCTATCCCAGAACCCCAGTTGCTTAATCAGTCTGCTGATTAAGCAACTAATTCTGGATTTAACAGGATACTTGTAGAGAAAGGCATCATCATATAACAGCACAAGCCAATACAGCACTACTTATATGGTTGACACTGGAAGTGATTTAAGCAAGCTGTGAACAGAAGCTGCTGTCTGCAGCTTCTGCAGCCACTTTTTAGTGGCCTAAAACCCTATCTCTGCTTTTTAGTGCTTTTCTTGAGAAAAATGACATAATGCAGGAATACATGCTGTCAAAGTAAAACAAAGCCAATCATAAACGCAGAAACAAAGATACCATAGGAGACCACCTGTGCCTGTTTTCAGCACTTGGGGTTTGTACAAGTAACTCGCAGAAGAAGGATAACTGGAAAGGGTCTAGGGACAGTAACTGCTCTAAAGGCTAGAAGAACAACTGGAGAACAAAGGCAGAAGCTGGAGAAGTCTGCTGGAGCATTTTACTTGTGTCTGCTTGTCCTACCATGATAACTCCTTACAAATAAAGTATTCTAAACTCTGACCTGCCCAGGAGCAAGGTATCTCCAATCAGGTTTTCTAGTACACAATAACTTAGTAATTTCTCTCTACGGAAAAGCATTCAGAGCACCTATTCTTGTCTCCTAAGTGCCCATTTAAACATAAAATTACTAACAGTGGCCAGGGAGGATTTTTGAAGAAATGTGCCATAAGTTTATAATAGCAAATCTATAAAAATGAAGTCATCAACTTACATTTTCATGTAACGGTGAACATCAGCAGGGAGGGATGATCCATCAAACACAAAATCTTCCACCATGACATTTAAGGTTAATCTTGACCTCCAGTGAGAGATAGGTTCATCCAGAGCATTTGTGTGCTTTTCCGCTTCGATTTGCTTTAAAAGAAGAATAAAAATACATGCTGCTGAACAACACAAAATTTTGAATGGGATAATAATGTAACTCACAGACTCTATGGAGTCATTAACTAAATCACAAAAAAAAAAAAGCCCATGAAGAAACACTTCACCTTAATTCTGACCAGATCAAGTATTTTGCTCAAATGCAACAGAGTAGATTGTAAAGGCCCACCATAATCTGACACTGAAAAAGTGGAGTGCCCAATCACAGCCTTGTTCATCAAGAATGAATATTCACCTAATTAATCTTCATACCTTAGGAATGTGTATACTAGTAGGAAAAACTCACTTTGAAAACAGGACTGTACAGTAATTAGATGATATTTCAAAACAGTCAAAAGGATGTGGATGATTAACCAAACAGCATATCTGTTTGTTTTCATATGTTATTCTGCTATTTTACAACAGCAAAGCATATTATTTCACACAAATTCAATTCACTATAGAAAGCAGCACCATGCTGTCACAGAGAATGGATTCTACCATTCTATTACAGAGCAATATTTCTACCAAAAGCAATGAATTTTTTAAGTAATTAATGTTAACTAGGGCAGTGTTTTAATAGCAGTGTTAAAGAAAGAGCTCTGCCTCTGCTCTGGGGAGTGGTCTACTGTTGGCACACGATAATCAAGGAGTTTTGATTTTTTTTTCCTCCACGATATCATTTTTAGTTTAAAGATGCAAGCACATCACATACTAACACTACAAGTGTCTATAAAAGAAATCACTTTTTTTGCAGTTTTTCTGTTGTAGATGGAAGAGCTACCTACCTGTGTGTCTGATTCTCCAGTGAGCAAATTAATCTCTTCTGGTTTGGGGACCATGTATGTGGTCAGAGGGCTTACTATATGCACCTGCTTACCATCATGCCAAGGCAAAATGCCAGCATGATGAAGAAATATATATGCATATAATGTGCCATTATTTCGCGTTTTCTTTGGTACAGAGACATTCACTGTCCTAAAACACAAAATAAATACATTATGAGATGTACATGCTAAAATATTTAGCTACTACTAAACATTTGGGTTGGTTGGAACACAACAATTACTTCTAGCTAGTATGTCCTAATGATGCATGCCTGGACAGGATAATTTTTTATGCTCCAGTACATATTACAATATAAACATTTCCAAAGTTTTACTATTACCTTAAGATAGTTTAATCTTTGTCCATTTCATACTTTACTGCTCTAGCTAACACAGGACTGCATCAATTCTTTTGTTGCTTTCCCCTACTGCTATGTCATAGGGCCAAAATTATGACAACACTCACAAAAAACAGCCTTCCATGTGCTGAATACGTACCACAGATTGTATACACAATACAAAATTCAATAAGAAAATCACAAAGTTTTGCCATACACTTTGCATTAATAAAATATCTTCTCGGCTACGGTATGCCAAGCACAGAACTCTAAACTGGAGCCCCAAACCATGAAGTCACTCCCCCTATTTTAGCCAAGAAATCATTCTACTTGCAACCTTGCATAATGCCTCCTCTGTTCCTGTACTCTGAGACACAGGTAAGATGCCTCTGCATTTTTAAAATAAGGCATTTTTCTGGTTTACTGAAATAAGTTGTGTAGATCTTTTTTATGCGTTATGTGGGGTATTTGGTAACTAGTATTTGGGAATTTGCATTTGGTATTTTGGATATTTTGGTATTTTGGATATCAATTTGGGAGTTCGGACTCATTGGTTTATTTGCTTTTGGAACCGGTATTTGGTTTATTTTGTATTGCGGGTTCTTCAGGTTCCAAAGACGGAATTGTGAAGAAATCACCTTTGGGTTGTATTTTAAAACACTGGAGAGAAATGGGACAGACCTCTGGAGGAAGAGCTAAAATTGCGGTCCTGGGTGGCTGCAGGCAGAAGCATTGCTTGCTGCTGAGCTGGAAAAGAGGCTACAAGCAGAGGCATTGCTTGTTGCCGAGGATGATCATATCCAAAAGCTTCAGGTGGAGCTTTGGAATGCGCATGAAAGAATCTTACAGGAAGATCTCCAGGCTGTAGAACCTGTAACGTTCTCTGAAACATGGTCTTGTAACTAAAACTTACTGTGTCCACTGGAGGAGCTGAGAGACTACTGTCTCAAAGCAAGTCTGTTCTTCTGACAAAGAGCAAAACGTAATGTTTGCATTGACATCTGATGACGACAAAGTAGCGTGTCGACCCTTAATTAAAGCTGAAACCTCAAATGACTGCCACAGTCAGCAAATGGCTACTAAAACAGTGCCACGTACAGCTACCAAGGTATCAAAGTCTGGCCATCTATCGGGTGAGATTGAAATCCAGTCAATATTAATGCAGTGGGATGCTGAGAAGCTGGATCCACTTCCCAGATGGCAGCCAATCACTGGAGTAAACTGAGCAAGTGTTATCTGTGTAACTGATAAGGCTAAATCATGGCTCCAGGGTAAGAGGCAGAAGCCTGATAAAAACCCTAGAAGAAACCCAGCAAAAGCAGCAGCGGCTTGTTGAATTTTTACAAGCAGTCTCACTCCCTCCAAACATAATATTAATTGGAGGGGATCCCCTTGAAAAGATGGGGCAAGCAAGAATAGCAGTGCAGCAAGCACTTTATGAAACAGAAGCTAAAACTCCACCTGAGAGATACCAAGTTCACACAGTCAAACTTCTTTCACTAAGGGGTAACTTGTCGGGGAAGTCTGTGTTGTTTTTTTTTTCTAGGAATGCCAGCATCCCCCCCCATTGAAGATCAAAGGAACCAGTTCACACTGGGGAAACTACCAGGGGAGTTACAGGCAAAGATGTGATAACCATTTTTCCCTTAGGATCTGTCACCTTTGTGAATCTCAGCATTTCAAACTCAAGTTACTGCTTTAGTAGTATTATACCAGCCTTCCTTTTAATAATCGATCTGTATTGGGCCAAATTTTCACATATCTTTTTATAGGAAACTGCCAACAGATGAGATAGAGCTGTGTGAAACCTACGAAACTTTTAATTGCCCCATAGTTGGTTGTATTATCAGTTTATTAATTCTTGTGATTTGTTTGTGTTTGTGAAGCCTAACTTTGCTTCATGCATATTTCTGTCCATGTAACCACCAGTTAGGATTTTTGCTTCAGAATTAAACAATGAACTCTGACACCTCAGATTCTACTAGTTCAGATACTTACCTTTCAAATTTGGACTCAATATCAAAATCCTCCACATTCAAAACGAGATCTATATTACTCTCAGCACCAATGCTTGACCTTGTGCATGAAGAAATCAGAGTATGGAAATATTAAATCCATGCATTGTTATGCCTAAAGTACAGGTCTGTATTTTGGCTTCACTAATTCCCCAGTCACAGGAAGGTTATATACATAGAAAATAATGTACTCAAAAAAAGTCTTAACACAGCTTTCAGCTCCTTCTGGGGACAAAAATACATGATAACACAGCCACTAAATACATTTTAAAAGGATGACCTGTCCTGGAAGTTGAAGGTAGTGGAGCCATCTCACAAAATTACAGAATTGTTAGGGTTGGAAGGGATCTCTGGAGATCACCAGTTCAACTCCCCTACCAATGCAGGGGCACCCAGAGCAGGTGACCAGGTGGGAACGTGTCCAGGTGGGTTTGGAACGTCTCCAGAGAGGGAGACTCCACAATCTCCCCGGGCAGCCTGTTCCAGTGCTCTGCTACCCTCAATGTAAAGAAGTTCTACATCAAGTTGAGGTGAAACTTCTTGTGTTTTAGTTTATGTCCACTGCTCCTTGTCCTGTCGATGGGCACATCTGAAAAGAGCCTGGTACCATCCCCTTGGCACCTGCCTTTGAGATATTAACGAGCATTAATGAGATCCCCTCTCAGTCTTCTCCAAACTAAACAGGCCCAGCATTTCTCCTGCAATGCTGCTCTATCCAGTGTGTGCGTGCCAACAAGTACACGAAATCAATAAAAAACCCAAACCCCAAACGCTTACACTTTCCCCGTGCCAGCAGCCACGGGCGCTCTGCACAGGGCAGGGACAGGGACGGGGGCAGGGACATGGGTCATGGACAGCGCCCAGAGGCTTGGGCAGGGGCCGAGGGCAGGGACAGGGACGGGGGCAGGGACATGGATCATGGACAGCGGCCAGAAGCTTGGGCAGGGGCCGAGGGCAGGGACAAGGGGAAGGGCGGTGCCGAGGAGCCGGTGACACTGAGGGGCCGAGGTCCGTCCCGGTCCCGCTCACCTGCAGCTTGGGCCTCCGAGCAAGGTAGGGCCAGACGCACCCCCCCGCCGCGCCGGCCGCCGCCGTCGCCAGGCAGGGCCGCGTGTAGACGATGCCGTACATGACCCAGCAGGTGTGCGCCACGTACACGGCGAACACCCCCACCACCAGGCTGGTGAACGAGCTGCGGCTCAGCATGGCGGCGCTGATGACGGCGGCCGCCCCCGCCTCCCGCCGCAGCCCCGCTCGGGATCCGCCGCCGCCGCCGCTCGCGCATCCCCCACGCGCCACCCGCCCCGCCCCGGCATGTCCGTCACTTCCGGCGGGCGCGGGAAGCACCGCCCCCCCCCTCCCGGCGACCCGCCCCGCGGGGACGGAGCGGCCCTGCTCGCGGCGGGCGCGTCACGGCACGGCGGGGGCCGCTAGAGGGCGCTGTGGGCAAGGCCCCGCCAGGGACCGCCCGGGGCTTGGGGTTAGGGCAAGTAATGATCATGATAGTGGTAGAAATGGTAATAATCCCGGAATCGCAGGATCAGTTAGGTTGGAAAACGCCTCTGAGATCATCGAGTCCAACCTGTGACTGAACACCACCATGTCAACTAGACCATGGCATGAAGTGCCATGTCTAGTCTTCCCTTAAACACCTCCAGGGACGGTGGCTCCACCACCTCCAATGTTTAACTAACCTTTCCGAAAAAGAATTCCTCCAAATGTCCAACCTAAATCTTCCCCTGCAGCAGCTTGAGACTATGTCCTCTCATCCTGTTGCCAGTTGCCCAGCCACAGGACCCCTACCTGGCCACAACCTCCTTTCAGGTAGTTGTAGAGAGTGACACCATCACCCCTGAGCCCCCTCCAGGCTAAACACCCCCGACACTCTCAGCACTCCTCATAGGACTTGTGCTCCAGATCCTTCATCAGCTTTGTTGCCTTTCTCTGGACCTGCTCCAGCACCTCAATGTCCTTCCTGAACTGAGGGGCCCAGAACTGGACACAGGACTCAAGGTGTGGCCTCATACACGAGTGCCAAGTACAGAGGGAGAACCACTTCCCTGGTGCTGCTGGGCACACTATTGCAGATACAGGCCAGGATGGCATGGACTGTACCATCATGCTGGCTCATGTTCAGCTGGCTGTTGACCAGCACCCCCAGGTAATAATAACAACAATAATAATAATTGTGTAATAGTAACAACAATAACTGTTGTAATAGTAACAACAACAATAAAAATATCCTTTGGCAGTCTGACAAAAAATTACCTTACTCACAGACTGCAAGGTAGTGTAATATGTTGGGAAAAAAAGTCAGGGAAAGGAAAGAAGCAACACTTCAAGGCCAGGTTGGATGGGGCCCTGAGCAACCTGGTCTAGTGGAAGGT